AAAAAAAGAATAGTCATTGAAGATTTTTGAGCAGAAGATGACGTTAAAAGTGTTGTCACTCTGCTGGGCATAGGGGCACATGCCTGCTGTCTCAGTTACTCTCGTTGCTGAGACATAATACCTGAAACCCACAAGTTAAAGGAGAGGTTTATTTTTTATTTTTGATCTTTTTGAGACAGGGTTTTACTATGCATTTGAGGCTGGCCTTGAACTCAATGTAGCCCAGACTGGTCTCAGCCTCCCGAGTGCTGGGATTACAGGTGTGCGCCACCATGTCCGGCTAAGAATCATATTTTTTAAATACATTTGGATGTAACTTTATCTTTTAATATCTGTTGAGCATCCCTAATCCAGAAATTTAAAAACCCAAAATGCACCAGAATCCAGAACAAGTAAAAATACTGCATAAAATTAGTTCCAGGTTATGTGTAAAAGGTATGAAACCTTGGGCTGGGGATGCAGCTCAGCAGCACAAGTGCCTGCCTAGCAAGTACAGGGTCCTGAATTCAATTCCCAGTACCAAAAAAAAAAAAAAAGAAGAAAACCAAAGCAAAACAAAACAAAAAATACCCCAAAGTAGGTATGAAACCTAAATGATTCTCATCCTTAGACTTCATTCCCATCTCAGACACATCATGTATATGCTGCATATATTCCAGAACTTGAGAAATCCATAATGTAAAGTACTGCTAGTCCTAAGCATTTTGAATAGGAGCTACTCAGCAAGTACTGAAATACGGGCATGGTCTCATTTGTATGATGATTTCTATGCTTACACATTTTTCTGAAATGTTGGGTTTGTCTGTTAAAAATTCCATTTGATTATGTTCTAATCCTTAACTTAGAAGTTAACAGCTTGCAAACATTTGCTATTCCAGGCTCTATATTTCTCAGCATCCTCTCAGGGTTCCTGTATCCCTTTCCGCTAGCCTTGTTTCTTGTTTGTTTGGTAAGTATATAAAACGAACTGGGAGACTAGGAAAAAAAAAAAATCTCTAACTAGGATGAGGAAAACAGTACTGTCGTCCTGGTCCCACCCATCTAGTAAGTTCATTCAAGAACAGTTGATGTTCAAGTGACGTCTGTTAAATTCCTCAGTGAGGAGGCGTTGTTGATTTTTCTTCCCAAAACGGGTGTTACACAGGCATAAGAGCATTTATAAGCTTCCTCAGCCTTTCTTACTTGTTTTTTGAGACAGGATCTTATTATGTAGTTCAGGCTGGCCTTGAACTCATTCTGTAGCCCAGGCTGGCCTTGAACCTGCAGCAGTCCTCAGCTTCCCAAGTGCTGGTATTACAGGTGTGCCCCACCATGCCTGACTCCTGTTGTTTTTTTTTTCCTGAGACAGGGTCTCACTATATAGTTTAGGCTGTCCTTGAACTCAGTATGTAGTCTAGACTGACCTCAAATTTGCAGCAGTCATCCTGCCTGAGCCTCCCAAGTGCTGGGATTACAGGGGTATTCCACCATAGCTGGCTTCTATTGTGTTTTGTAACCTGGACAATCTGAGAGTTTTGGTGGGCACAGTGAATTAAGTCACAGTGAATTAAGTCCTGGGGTAGTGTTTTTAGGCAGAGCATTGAAAAATTTGGTTCCTGAAGTTGTATTCTCATGCTAAAGGCTAGCAGTAATTATTTGGCTATAGTCTCTTAAGTTTAATTGCACATGTTTTAGTTGGTATCATTTGAATTACGTTTGGCCTAAGAAAGGACTACATGAAGTGAGTTCTGTGCACAAAAGATCCCGTGTAGAGCATCCTTCCTGTTCCCCCAAAGAAGTAAACTAGTTGAGCTTTTCCTCAGGGGGATACATTCATGTGATTAAGATGGGAAAATACGAAGTACTCACGGCTCCTGTTGTTTTCCAGTGTTCTGGACTTGGTGCCTCATTCTGCTATATGCTCTCCTATTTAGTTGGACGACCAGTTGTATACAAATACCTAACAGAGAAAGCAGTAAAATGGTCACAGCAGGTAAATATATGTTGTTGTTGTTTGTTTTCTTTTCTAGATGGTCTTGCTATGTTGCTCATGCTGGCCTCAAACTCCTGGGCTCCTGAGGAGCTGGGAATACAGATGTATACCACTGGGCCAGCCTTACGTTTAAATTATGTAATAAAGCTTTGGTTTGTTAATTGGAAGGTCAGTGTATAGTCCCTGTGTAAATTTAATATTAATTTATGTCTACATAAATTTATATATTAAGATAATGCAGATAATTAAGCTTTATAAAATTAACTCAGATAAAAACAATTGTTTTGACCAAAATAATATTTGTTATATGCAAAAATGAATGTTAATAATTTTTATTGTTTTCTTGTCTTTGTTGTGTTTTGAGATGTGGTCTTGCTATGTCCATCTTGGTCTGAGACTTGTTATGTAACACATGTGCTCTTTTCATTATACTGCATATGTACAGAATGGTAATAGTTTTCCCTGTGAGTTTGTTTTGAGAAAGGCTGGTTTGGGCAGTGAGCCTATTAGATATTTAAAGGGGTATAAACTGAAACCAGTAGTTACATTTAAATCAGCAGAATGTTTCCACAGGCATGGTGGTGCATGTCTGTAATCCCAGCACTTGGAAGGCTGAGGCAAGAGGATTGCTGCAAGTTTGAGGCCAGCCTGGGCTACATACTGAAACCCTGCCTCAAAAAAAAAAAAAAAAAAATCTCATCAACAATGAATAAATCCTTTTATATGATATCTGTTATAATAGCATAAAATGAAGATTATCTGAAGTTTTTAAAAATTGAGAGCTAGAGGCTGGGGTTTTTGCTGAGTGTAGAGGGCTTGCCTAGCATGTGGGAGGCCTGGAGTACAAGCACGTGCATTGGGAGTTAAATTTGTTTTTGTGGTGGATTGGTTCATTACACTGTACAAAGATGAAGATATTAAAAAGTTGACTGATTGATTTCTTTCAATATTTTTCCTTTTCTTTCTTTTGTTCTTTTTTTTGTTTTTGTTTTTGTTTTTTTTTTGTTTTTGTTTTTTGTTTTTCTCCGGTACCGGGAACCGAACTCACGACCTTGCGCTTGCCAGGCAGGCGCTTTTGCCGCTGAGCTAAATCCCCAGCCCCTCTTTCTTTTGTTCTTTATGTGTGGTACTGGGTATGGAACCCTGGTCCTTTACACTGAACAATATCCCCATCCTTTTTTTAAATTTTTAATTTTAAGACAGGGTCTTGCTAAATCACTAAGTTTTGCCAAGATGAGGCTCAAATTTGCATTCCTCCTGCCTCTGCCTCCCAGGGTGCAGAAATTGCAGGTGTGTATCGCCATGTCCAGCTTGAATGTATTTCTTTTTTGTTTGTTTTGTTTTTTGAGACAAGGTCTCACTACATAGTTCAGGCTGGCCTTGAACTCACTGTGTACCCCAGGCTGGCCTCAAAATCATAGCGATCCTGCTGCCTCATCCTCCAAAGTACTGGGATTACAGGTGTGCATCACCACACTGGGCTTGTATGTTTCTTAAATATAGTTTTGTGTAATTTTAATTAGGCATTTTAGGGGTAAAGCAGCATCATTGAACCATCATTAGATTGATCATAGAGCCGTCTTTAGTAGTATAACATTGACCTACAGTGATGGGAAGCCTTTTAGAGAGCTTTCTTTTTTGGGGGGTGGTTTGAGCCCCTGTCTTGCTATGTGGCCCACGTAAGCCTTGAACTCACGGCAATCCTCCTGCCTCACAGCCTCTTTAGTGCTGAGATTACAGGTGTGTATCACCACACCTGGCTAGAGAGCTTTTGATGCAAATAGTCTGCTCTGGCATGCATACCATAGGTTCACCACCACTATAAGAATAATTTTTAAAAACCTCTTTTATCTCTGGTAATGAGGATTTAACAAATAGTTTATTGTCATTTTCAGATTCCTTTTTTTTTTTTTGTCTTTTTTGAGATAGGGTCTTGCTGTGCAGTTCAGGCTGGCCTCACTTTGTAGCCCAGGCTGGTCTCAAACTCACAATGATCCTCCTGCCTCAGCGTCCCGAGTGCTGGGGTTACAGGTGTGCATTACCATGCCTGGCTCAAATTCCTTTTAAAATCATTAATATTGTAACCAAAGAAAAAAGATGCCAGGCGGGTGGTGCATTCCTGTATCCTAGCACTCAGGAGGCTGAAGCAGGAGGATTACCATGAGTTTGAAGCCAACCTGAGCTATGTAGTGAGACTGTTTCCAAAAAAAACCAAAAAACTAAAATATCAGGGATGAGAAATTGAAATATGTTGCTTTATATTAGACAACTTATTTTCAGGATGGATTTCTCTGATACTAATATTCTTTTTTTTCTTATGCCAGGTTGAACGTCATAGAGAACATCTCATTAACTACATTATATTTTTGAGAATAACACCATTTCTGCCTAATTGGTTTATTAATATTACATCTCCAGTGATAAATGTGCCATTGAAAGTTTTTTTTATCGGCACTTTTCTAGGTAAGGCCTTTGGATAATGCTGTGTTAGGGCTCGCTGTGTACGTTCCCAGCAGTGTCTGACTGGCCTGGGTCCCATCGCCTGTACAACCTGGGCCCGTGCAGGACCCTTGGGCACAGAGCCCGACCTGTGGAAATAGATGCTCGCAATATTTGTGTATAAGTATGTTTGTGTTACCTCTTAAAGTGATATACTTCGTATTGGATAGTGTTTTAATAATACAGGATTAAATGAAACTTTTTTCCTAGTGCTGGGAGTCAAAGCTGTGGGTTTGCATGTGCCACGCAAGTGCTCTGCCACTGTGCTGTGTCCCCACTCCTCAGAACTCTTTAACTCCAATCTTGCTGTCAAGTGGAGAGAAAAAAAATAAGTAGCTGTTTGTAGATTTTTTCGTTTGTCTTCTAATCAAGTATGAAATATTTAACTTTTTTTGGAGTTGAACTCATGACCTCAGGCTTGCCAGGCAAGCGCGTATGCCGCTGAGCTACATCCCCGGCTCGAAATATTTAATTTTCAGTAGACTTGTTCCCAGTGTTCAATTTATTGAAATCCGCATTTATTGTATGTGTATATATTACCAAATGTACAGGAAAAAAAGAATGAATTTCGATTTGAGAAGGTTTCGCTGTGTTCAGGCTGGTCCTGAACTCACCATGTAGCCTAGGCTGGCCTTGAACTCGCAGTGATCCTCCTCCTGCCTTAGCTTCCTGAGTGCTGGAATTACAGGCGTGCTCTACCACACCTGGCCAGAGTCAATATGCTTGCTTTCAGGGCACTGACACCTGATTTTGAAATTAATAGACTTGAAGATTAGTTTATATATTTTATGAGTTCTTATATGTATGTGATTTTTGGTGGGGTGGTGGGTATTTTTTGTTTTGCTCTACTAGGGGTTGATCCCAGGGCCTTTGCACTGAGCTCCATCTCCAACCCCCTCCTTTTTTTTTTTTATATATTTTGATCTGGTGTGGTAGTGCATGCCTGTTATCCTGGCACTTGGGAGGCAGAGGCAGGAGGATTGCCATGAGTTCAGACCAATCTGAACTACATAGACCTTGTCTGAAAAACCTAAAAAAAAAAAAAAAAAAAAGAATTGAGACAGGATATCCCAAAGTTAGTAAATTACCCAGTTTGGGCTCAAACTTGTGATTCTCCTTTCTCATCCTCCTAGGGTGCTGAGTTTATGGGCATGCGCCCCTGTCCTGCCTGAATTCTTGTGGTTCTTTAGTAAATGCTTTATTCCTTTCCAATTTAAATTGAACTATTGAGATACAAAGAGCAGGTTTCTGAAGTATTGAATATTTGTTAGGTATAAAGCTGGGTGTGGTGGCTTAGTATTTTAAAGAAATTCATTGACAATTTTATCAGCGTGTGTATTGTTTCTTCTATCCTTATCTGACAAGTAAAATGGCTAGGAATTTTGTTTTTCAACTTGTTTTGATTTTTAATGAAATATGGTCATTCCTTGAGTACTTTTTTTGATAACCTCTCATTCTCATATTTTGATTATCTTTACATTTCAGTGTATCTTCTATCATTCTACCACACTTTTTTCTCTCAATTTAGGTATGTTCTAGACCATTGCTGGCGAACCTATGGCACGCATGCTGCAGCAGGCACGCAGAGCCCTCTCGGCACGCGAGCCAGTTTGCCCCAGCATCGCCCCAGCGCCGAGCATGGGATGTTCAGGTTTAATTGCAGTGTTGACACGTTGGGATAAGTGGGTTTTGAGTTACAGTTTGGGCACTTGGTCTCTAAAAGGTTCACCATCACTGTTCTAGACAATTGTTCAATATCTTATTTTTAAAATCAGTGCTAGGGATTGAACCTGTAGGCAAGTGTTCTACCACTGAGCTGCACCCACAATACACAGTCTTACTTCTGAACATTTAGACTGTTTCCAGATTTTTTTTGAAAGTCTTAAATGTTGTGAATTGTTTTCTGGATTTTTTTTTTTTTTTTTGGTCTTTTTGAGACAGGGTCTTGCTATGCAGTTCAGGCTGGCCCTGAGCTCACTTTGTAGCCCAGGTTGGCCTCGAACTGGCAGTGATCCTCCTGCCTCAGTCTCCTGAGTGCCAGAATTAAGGGGAGAGCCACCACACCTAGCTCATGGATACTTTTTGTTGGTTTTTAAATTCCTTATCCTTAGGAAATGATTATAAAAGATTGAATTTTTTATATGGAAATAAACTATAGGAGCTTTAAATTCTTTTTTTTTTTTTTAGGAGCTTTAAATTCTTAATGATCTTTTATTCAGAGTGGCAATAGCTGTGTTCTTAGAAGAAATTTTATGCACATAGAAATTTCTAATTCTTAAAAACAATGTTTGGTTTTCACTGTTTTTTTTTATGTTTTATTTTAGGTGTTGCACCGCCCTCTTTTGTAGCAATTAAGGCAGGAACAACATTGTACCAGCTGACGACAGCAGGGGAGGCTGTTTCCTGGAACTCAGTATTTATTCTGATGGTTCTGGCTGTTCTTTCTATTCTTCCAGCCATTTTTCAAAAAAAGCTAAAGCAGAAATTTGAGTGAAAAATTACCTGGGTTTTAAATATCCTCTCATCATCATCCTAACCCTCATCCTCATCTCAGGATTAGCAGATTTGTCCATTTATGGTTTTTCTCTTTTTTTCTTTTTTGCAGTGGTGGGGATCAAACCTAGGGCCTTGCGCCTGCTAGGCAAGTTTTCTACCACTGAGCTGCTTGCCCAGCCTCTTTGTGTTTCTAAATCACCTCTTCAGTAATTGAAACAAAGAACTTGTGAATAAAATTTCTCATCAGTTAAAGTGATACATTGAAGTGCAGGGGGAGAAGAAAGTAAAATGGAAATTCACATACTATGAAACGTGCTGCCACCCGTAGTTCCCATAGACCTGTTACTGTACCACTGGGAGCGAGAGGCAGAAAACCCACGTGGTGTATGAAATTCTTGGTCCAACTGATACTTTGAATTCAATATTTTTCTCTTGTATCTAATAAGTGCAATAGAAAGTGGTACAGTTCTTACTAATGTTAGCCTTTCAGAGCATATAAGTGGGTTAACTAAAGCTTAAACAAAATTTATATTTTCATTCTCTTTTCGCTTTGAAGTAATAAGTTTGTTCAGAGGTTGCATCTTCATAGACCACCATATATTGAAAGGGTATCAAGTTACCTATTTGTAAGCTTTATTTCTTGTCTTAAATTTTTATCATGGATTAATCTGGTAATTTAAATTCTAGTGGTTTCTGTTTTCGTCATTTTTTCTAGTTCATATATAAAAGGAAGATTACATGATAACTTGTTTCATTTACTTTTTTTTTTTCCGGTACCGGGAATCGAACTCACGACCTTGCGCTTGCCAGGCAGGCGCTGTGCCGCTGAGCTAAATCCCCAGCCCCTATGATAACTTGTTGATGTTGATAATTTGTATTCAGATAGTATTTTGTTACAGTGTCTGTAATATCTCAAAAGGGTTTCTAAAAAGCAGAAACTCAAAGCATATAGTTTTTTGACATTGGAATAATTATATTTTCAAACAAAAATGGGCAGCATGACAAAGTGGTTGAATATATTTTATTTGTTACAATGACTAAAATTTACCTCATTTATTAGTCTGGTCATCAGGGAATGTATCATGTAATTATCCTTTTTATGCATGATACACCTGTAAGAATGCTTTATTTCTGTTGGCGACTTTTTTGTTTGGGGCTGCTTTTGGTAGTGCAGTTTCCCAATGTAGACTTTATTTCTCCAACTTGCAAAATTAACTTCTCACATGGTAACAACTGTATTTAAGTAGTTCTGGAAAAGGTAAACCACTATTTGCTGCTCAGTTAATGGTAATATCCTTTATTCTTTGATTCTGGGACATAGCCAGTCAGTCGGTTTTAACCCAGCATGGTGGCACATGCCTATAATCCCAGCACTCGGGAGGCTGAGGCAGGAGGATCACCATGAGTTTAAGGCCATCCTGGGCTACATAGTGAGCTCAAGGGCAGCTGAGCTGCATGGCAAGACCCTGTCTCCAAAACAATATAAAAAATTAAAAAAAATCATAAAGTACTGTCACTTTTCTTTTACCCTAAGGTTGTCATTATGTTGAAAAGTCCATTAGCTGTGTGAGAAGCCCTTACATGTTTTCATTGTGGGAAGTATGATCATCCTCAAAACCTGATTCTACTACAGAATGTGGACTGATTCATTTTTTCTATTACAGTATTAACAAATAGATTTATTGTAAATACAAAGAAAATATATTGATTAATGTAGTAGTCATGTCACCTGGACTTTTGAGTAAAATTATTTATTATTATTTCTAGTAAGGTTTTATTTCTTATTCACTAGAGGCTGAGTGATAACGCTTTTATTATTTTTACAAATGAATTTAAAACAGCCTTTTGGGACAAAGCTCACTGAACATTACTGTGTAAAATGTAATTGAGTCAGTTTTTATCAAACTTTGAAAAATAAAAGTACGAGCTTGGGCTCAGGAGAACCCTCACTGTTCACGGTGGTGTGTTTCCGTAGTACTCACTCTATTCTCAGAGTATTCACTCCGTCCTTAGGATAGATTCTTTTCCTTTGCTGATTTCTCCTTGCGTTAGAAAATGTAGCTGCCACTTTAGGTGGATGTATTTTTTTCTCCCAAGAGAACAGCTGTTCTCTGCAGGTTCCTCGTTGACTGTCAAGAACCCTGTAACAGGCTGTGCCCCGAACATAGCTGGTGTTCATGGAACCTCAGACTGGCTCTAGGCCGGAAGTAATTTCTAGCCTAAGCCAGCCTCACCACTCCTGCCTCCCATCCCATTTTCATGCTGGAGATTGAGCGCAGGGCCTTCCGTATGCTAATCATGCAGTGGTGGCCAACCTATGGCACACATGCTGCTGCAGGCTGTTCGCTGTCATTGAAAGCTCTGAAAGGTCCACCGTCACTGCCCTAGCCGCTTCAGCCACACATGAAAGACGGGTGCCTCGGAATGACTACAAAAGCACTCCGTCTTCGGTGGGAGGCAAGCAGGCTGCCTGGGATGCTGACACTAAGACAGCGAAGTAGTCCTCTTGATGTTTTCTCTGTGGAGCTCTGCTACCTTGAGTGTAATATATCTAAGACTTAAGTGCAAACTAAAATGTAATAAATTTTACTGAGAAACTTAAATGGTATACTTGAGATTTATTTCATGGAGGTATTTATATGTTTAAAAGTTCATTAAAAGTATATTTTCTTGAAATTCTGGTGCACGTTTTTACCCTTAAGAATAAGGCAAATCTTAAATCCTGTATATTTTTTCCCATTGCTAGGGATCAAACCCAGGGCCTTGTCCATACTAGGCAAGTGTTCTTCATCTAGTTACAACCCCAGCCCCACCTGTAATTTGAAAACTAACACTGGGTGTGGTGGCACATGCATGTAATTCCAGCACTTGGAAGGCTGAGGCAGGAGGATCACTGCAAATTCAAGGCCAGTGAGACCCTGTCTCAAAGAAAAGTAGCAACTGCCAGGTGTGGGGGCACATGCCTGTAATCCCATCAAATTTATTTAGTAAATGAAACCATAAAAGGTGAAATATTGGGACAGCTGGGTGTGCTGGCGCACACTGTAATCCCAGCACTCAGGAAGCTGAGGCAGGAGGATCTTAAGACCAGCCTGGGTTACAAAGTGAGCTCAAGGCCAGCCTGAACTGCATAGTGAAACCCTATCTCAAAAGACAAAAATAAAGTCCAGGTTTTACTAAGTCACTAAATTACCCAGGCTATGATCCTACTGCCTGTTTCCCAAGGTGCTGGGTTTACAGGTGTGTACCTCACAGCCCTCATAATTTTTCTGAGGGGCTCTCACTTCATTGTCAAGGCTGACATTGAGCTTATGATTCCTTCTGCTTTAGCTTCTGACTAGTTCAGATTATAGGGGTGTACCACTATGCCCCATTATTATTTTTTTTTTAGTTTTTTTTTGTTTTTTTTCTGGTACCGGGAATCGAACTCACGACCTCGTGCTTGCTAGGCAGGTGCTGTGCCACTGAGCTATATCCCTGGCCCAAGAAGTTTTTTTTTTTTTTTTTGATAGGGTTGGACATCTATACAAGTATATGATAAAAAGTCAGTAATAGAGAGGAATTTGTCTAATTTGATAAATGGTTTACCAGAAATGTGTAGCAAATGTGTTTTTTAAGTGGTAAAATCAACTCTTATCATGGCATGCTTACCAAAAATAGCCGGGAGACTCTAGAGCAATTCCAGGATGGCAGTAGCAGGGGTAGGGCCCCGGGCAGGGTACACAGAACAGCTGGGTGTGGCTTTGGCGCTGGCAGCCGTACCAGGTTAGGAAGAGGCCAGATAGGCCTGCTGAGGCTGTAGATGGAGTGAGCGTCGCTGCATGTGTGGAGTCTCACCAACCAGCAGCTTTTGCAGATGTCTTCCTTCTGGTGCAGGGCACCAAACCCGGGACTGCTATGCCTTGAGCACTGTGCTCTCTACCTGCTCCCACCTCCTTTCCCAGGCCTGCAAATGCCTCCCCGCCCCCATGGGCGTTAAACCCAGGCCCTCAGGCATGCTCGGCAAGCACTCTACCCTTAAGCTACACCCCCAGCCCCACAAATGTCATTTTTAAAAAACATTTATTTATTATTATTGTTTTTTTTTAATGTATGTGGTGCTGGGGATCGAACTCAGAACCTTGTACATGCAAGGCAAGAGCTCTACCACTGAGCCACATCCCCAGCCCCTGCAGATGTCGTTCTTAATGGAAAACTTTAGACCCATTTTCCTTACAATGGGAGAGTAAGGGTTCCTGCTATCGTATGATGGCCTGCCAGTGGTATGAGGCAAAAGAAAGAAATGTGAGGCCAGAGGTTTGAAGAGAAAGGAAAGCCTGCATTATTTGCAGTTGACATAACCACCTACTTAGAAACACACACGCAGCAGAATAAATAAACCGGAACCCACCTTTTCACGGGACTGCTGGAGGTGGCCCAAAACCTGTCAAGAAAAAAGGAGCAGTCCCCATCTTCCAAGACCGTGTGTGCAACCCCATCCTTTACCACAAGGTGGCGTCTAGCCTGAGGAACCTTTGCTGCTGCGATGGGAGTAAAAAGTTCTCCATGTTAGATTTTGTTTCCTCTTCTGTCTCTCCGGACTAAATTTGAACTCTTGGAGGACAGGAGCCGGGATTGCTGATGAGAGGGAAAGGTGACGAGCAACCAGCAACCGGGATTGCTTGAAGAAAATACAGGATAAAAGGCCTGGGATGGCGGGGAGGGTGGAGGAAAGGGCTGGTAACTGTGCTCCTGGTAACTTCAGGGAGCAGAAGTTGGGCCTGGGCTTTTCTATTCAGTGGCAAAAGGCTGGATCTGAAACCTAATAAGGTTATGTGAGCAAGCAGGGCAGGTCGGGTGCACATGGAGTCCCAGCATATGGGCAGCTGAGGCAGGAGGATTGCTTCCAATTTGAGACTAGCCTGGGCTACATAGTGGCTTTAAGGATAGCCTGAACTAAACAGTAAGACACTGTCTCCAAACTAAACCAAACCAAACCAAAAGACAAAACAAAACTAGAGGACTCCAACACCGTGGTTGTGATCCAATGCTCTTAAGGATGGGCTGTAAGATGCCCCAGCAGCCACTGCTGTTCTCAGGCTGAAGAGGAGTCTGCTTGCTACCTTTGCGGCTGTAGCTCCATCATATCCACAAGGCTGGCGAAGGGCATCACTATCTTCGCAATCCTAGCAGCTCATGGAAAGTGACAGAGTAGCAGGAACATGGTCTCTGGGTTTTTCTTTTTCATACAAATCCCTTGCAAGTGTTTCTTCTTTGTGGAACTTTTTTTGCATGCACAACTCTAATTTGTAAGAATTTAAAACTTTCTAGCCTCTGTGATACAGGAAAGAATAATTGAGCACAGCTATATCATGTGCACAGCTCAGTGCAAAACTGAAGTGCAGAGCCCTCATTCAAAAGCCAAGAAAGGCCGGCTGTGATGGCGCATGCCTGTAATCCCAGCACTCGGGAGGCTGAGGCAGGAGGATCGTTGCAAGTTTGAGACCAGCCTAGGCTACAAAGTGAGCTCAAGGCCAGCCTGAACTGCATAGCAAGACCCTGTCTCAAAAAAACAAATACAAAACAAAACAAAAACAACAGCCAAGAAAGTACCATTAAAGATGCCACAAGATAAACATTTGTCCTTTGTTGCTTCTTGACTTGTCCTGATGTTTTCATTTTCTATTTAATGTTGTTGTAAGTAAAGAAAAATTAATATTGTAAATAATTACTTGATTTTTTTTTTTTTTCTTAGCCTCCATTTCC